AATTAACTTTATTCTACTATTTAAAAATAAAATAACTATTGGTATTCTGACTGATTTTGTCATAAACATACCTTTTTATAGAGGTAAAAAAATAGAAGTAGGAAAAATGATTCTTAAAAGTACATGGTTTAGCGTTAATATTTTGTACACCTCATTTACAATGTCTGAAAATATTGAATTAAATTTACTGAATTTAATTATGACATTAACTTTACATAATAATTTTTTAGTAAATCTTTTTTCATTAATTTTCTCATACAAAATATTATGTTTGCTCCTATTATGTTTTTCGATGGTAAACTAAACTAAAATTCAACTTACATTTTTGAATACCTTTTAGAAAGAATAACACATATTACTGATAAGAAATTAAATTTTATCATCAATATATTTGTTGCTATGAATAACAATATCAGAGAGAAAAATATGTAATTAACCTTATGTAATAAATAATATTTTTTAATTAATTTCGCAGATGAAAACAGACTGAAAGTAATAAAATCTTTGTAAGAAAAGTCTTTTAAAAAGTAAACATAAACTTTATTAAAATTGATTTTCTTGGAAGAGACTTTGTGACTTTTGTAATAAGAAAGACTAGAAAAATAAAATATATAATTTTTTATTTTTAAATCACGTAAAATTAGAATGTTTGTATTGGAGCTTCTAGTGTGAATGCCAAGCAGTACAGCATGCCATTTCTGAATCCTCTGTATTCTCCTCAGATTGACATCCAAACACTCTGAAACATTGATATTGGAGATTCTGGTGCAAATGCCAAGCAGTACAGCATGCCATTTCTAAATTTGTGGCAAAGCAAATTTCATGAAGGTGCTCCTTTTCTCACAGATGGTGTCAAACTGATTCTTCTAGACTGTGCCATTGACAAAATCAAAAACAAAAAACATGTAAGCAAAAAATTAAAAATATAAAATGGCAACAGTTTACCCATCGCCCACTGTAGTTATAACAATAATATATAGCGATAATATATAGTAAATATAATGATAATATATAATTATATATAGCAATAATGTAGTGTTACATATCATAATAATATAGATATATTTTCCAATAACATGATAACATATAGAGTGATAATATAATCATAAATAATGATTGATTTTTTAATGATTTTGAATGGTAAACTAAAAAAAAACTTACATTTTTAAATACCTTTTAGAAAGAAAAAGAGAAATTATTGATAAAAAATTAGATTTTATCATCAAGATATTTCTTGCTATGAATAACAATATCAGAGAGAAAAACATGAAATTAACTTTATGTAACGTATAATATTTTTAATTAATTTTAGAGATGAAAACAGACTCAAAGAAATAAAATCTTTGGAAGAAAAATAAAAAGTAAACAGAAAACATTATTAAAATTTACTTTCTTGTGAGAGACTTTGTGATGTTTGTAATAAGAAAGATTAGAAAATAAGCTTTATAGTTTGTTTTTTTATTTTTAAATCATGTAAAATTAAAATGTTATATTATTTGAGTATAAGAAGTGTGGTAAATGTTCAACATAATTTTTCATTTGTTAGAAATACAGATGACACAAAAATAAATAAAGTTAATCATTAGTGTATTTCCTTTCATGAATAAAAAATTTCATAGATAAAAATATTCAATTAACTTTAAGTGAAAAATGTTGAATTAACTACCAAGTAACAAGACTGAGAGTCCTAAATAACATTTTTTGTGAATTTTGCACACGAAATGTTTGTTTTTGCAATGAAAATATAAAATAATATGGCAAATCTGAAATAAAATAAATCTTATACTTTCTTCAATTATCTAAATTTATTCCAAGTGTAAAAAGTAAAAAATCTTAAGCTAACTACAACAGTGAACTACTGTAAACCCAAACTGAAGTTAGAAGATTTCACTCCCAGTAGAACAATCAGATAAAAAATCAGCCTACAGTTCTGGATGAAAATTGCATTATGACTTGACCTTTAGTATGTCTTGAACAGAATCTGATTTGTACATATAACATTGGTTTTATGGTCAAATCTCAGTTGTTTGCATAGTTTCAACTGGATCAACATTCCCATCCAGTCATGCCTTCTTCATTTGTTTATTATTACTAATAGTAATAGTATTATTTGCTTCTCATCCTGTCCTTTTGATATGCTTGTCAATATTCTGCATGTCATGTTTCACCTGTATCAATATTTTGATTAATAAGGTTAGCTTCCCAGAAGAAGACTTCTGTCTCCTAAAATGCCGTTCACCAATTCAATATTAGCATGGGAATTTAACAAAAACAGGATTCAACCTAAAATCCAATACTGAGACAATATTGCTAGTAAAATCAATATAAAACTCTTGAGAGGAAATATAGAACTCGTATTTTCAACAGGAAGTTTTACGACATTGTGATTTAAGCAATCTGACTTGTGTGCCAAAACACTCTTGAAGTAATAGGGTTGTCTCCACAGTCAAAAGTGGTCAAATCCAGGTTAATTCTTAGATTTTAAATACAGATTTTCATAGTTAATATCTTCTTTTAATGAAGAGATTTACATAGTATGAAATACATTTATGAAGCAGATGACAAGATTTGAAGTTTCAGTGATGTGGTTCTACAGAAGGATGCTAGGAATACCATAGACGGAGCATGTGAGCAATAAGGAAGTATTATGAAACAGGAAAATCTCTTCACAAACAAAGAAATGAGTGCTGAATGGCTATGACCTCACCCAATGCAAAGCCCAAGAGCCATTCAAGATAGAGGATTATTACTGCATTTATTATGATAAGTGTAAGAAAATGTAAAAAGATAACAGTTAAACTTAGACTTGAGCAGAATGTTTTCAAAATTGCTGCAATCTTTTTTCGCAATTGTGAAACCATCCTGCCAGGAGTCTGTTCCGCAAAGCATCATTTCATAGGGAGAAGATGTTTGAATGGAAATTATTTCTTACTGTTGGAATATGAAAAGAATGGAGTGGGACTAGCTATTCAGAACTCAGGCAATAGAAATAGCAATAGAACAGAAAAAGGCTGGCAACTTTTTGACTGCGAGAAAGAGGTTGTAGGGTGGAAAATAATTCATCACCCACAAGGCTGTGTAGAAAATTTCAAACTCTGTCAAGAGAGCTAAATGGGAAGCTCCAGACAACAATACTCCATTTTTGGCCTGATCTGAGTCTTATAAAGATTGAGTATAGCAGGGGGAGTTAGATATTTACTGGAGCAGTAGAAAGAACTGAGTATTTTGCGGGGGTTCCACTTGAGATCTGGGTGAGCTTGGACCCCTACAAGCATTCAAGACAAGGAACCATCTTGAGAGAAAACTCATCCATCATGATAGCTGAAGGTACAAGGTCAGCTTGATGGTGGGTGTTTGGTTTTGGCCATAATGAAATTTGCAATCCAGTCCTTCCCCCATTAAGCCAACAGGAGAGTAGAGATAAGCTGCCAGAATCTGGTCTTCCAGATTTTAAGTGTAGGAAATACAAAGTGAGGATTATGTAGATATAGAAGATGGGTAATACTTGACCCTTGACTTGAAGATGTCAAGTTTGTAGCATCTGGTCTGGTGCTTCTGTTATATAGTTCACACTGGTCCCTTCTATAGATAAAATGTCCCTGTCTTAAAAATCTGTATTTGAAATACTGGCTTTTACCTAGATTTGAACACAGACCCTATACTTTTTTCCTAGTGTTCACCAAAGATTAGGCTCAAGAGCTACTCAAGGTAGAGGGTTAGTGACTGAGATGTGTAATATAAATGCAAGAGTAAGAAGAAGGAAGCGAGGATTATGTAGATATGGAGATAAGTAATGATTGAACCTTAACTTAAAGAGGTCAAGATTGAAGCATCAAGTCTATGTATTTAGAGATTCTTCATGAAATCCAAAGAAGAATCTACAATATTATTGGTTCTGACCTGGTATCTCAACTTCAGTTACTTTCCTACTGCCATAATATAGCTTCCCTGTGCCTTTTCTGTAAATATTTTCATAATTATTCTGATGAACATTTTTCTTTGTTACATAGTTGTTATGAATTTAAGCACAGTACTAGATTGGCATCAAGGTCTCATCATTTTAAAGTTGAAATGTCGAGATGTAACTGTAAGTTCTATGCGAACAATTTCTTTTATTGCACTTCTTGCTTGTGGAAATCTCTTCCACCTTCTAGCTTCCCAGTCAACTTTGATCTTCAAAGATTTAAATAAAATGTCAATCATTATCTTCTGTCTTCTAAATTCTAATTCTTTTATTGTCCTCTCTCCTTATTAGTATTTTTTTATGATGTTCTCTAGCACTCACTAACCCCTTCCTTCCTAGTGGCTTTATTGCTTTACTTGTGATGGAATGATTTTAAAAAGTAATTGTGTATAATATTCCATACAATTTCCACCATCATTGCTCATTTGAAAGGGAGAATATAGGAGTCAAGAAATAAATAGTGAAGCATTTATAATGTTTGTGGCTTTGAACATGGACAAGGGTTCATATGCTATGGTGGTTGAATAGATTCTAACATCAGTTAACTAAAATGACATTACAGTTCAAAGGAATTTTAAAACATGGAAAGATTAAATCTGCTACTTAATTTGAATGAAAATGGAAATGAAAAAAAGACAGTTGAAAATCTCTTGTGCATATAATGTGGAAAGAAGGCTTCAAGAATGTATCACTCACAAGACATGTTAAAGTCAAGAGAGGCACAGGAAGGCAGCCACCTAAGAATCTTGTGTAAATGGTTGCCAGAACAGCACTTAGGAGAGATGGCTAAACAACAAGCCTTACTTTGAGCTGCAAAGGACATTATCTTATGTCTTTAAACTTTTGCACTCTGTATGTAGGTGACTTCATTTGTCAAACAAAATGTTTGTACAGCCACTGCATGCAACTCTGATCATCAGACAATAGTTTGATTGAATTTTGCTCTAGTGTTGTCATATCATACTATGGCAAGAGGAAAGTGAATAAATAAAAATTGAAGCTGATGCTACTGCAGTCGTCTGGCTACTTATATCCAATGGATGAAATACTTATGAAGGTTAATTCTTATTCTTTTATTGTTCTCTCTCCTTAATAGTGTTTTTTTTTTGCTCATATTCTCTAACACTCGGTAACCCTATGTATCTTAGTGGCTTTATTGCTTTGCTTTAATGATTATTAGAATATACATATATATGATCATGATAATTTTTCATTTTAAATATTCCAATGAAAATGATGACTACAACCAAATTAATCAAATTAATATGAAATAATTACTCATTTATTCTTAACTACAATTAACTCTATGCATTGCTCCTTGTAATGTCATGAATCTGGCTATATTTTTAAGTGCTGTTTATCCCCAGTTGGATTCATAATTAATTTAACGAAAAATATGGTCTGATATTATTGAAATATCATTCCGTTTGGTGTTTCGGACCTGTTTTCATTTGTTTGGCAATTATTCTGACTCCTTTTGTTTTAGGATTCAGTAATATGTTTTGTATTTCTGCTATTAAATTTGTTTCTTTGTTAATTTAATTAAACTCTTTCACATATTGCTTTGTTTGAGCCCGTTGTTTTCCTGAGTGCGGATTTGCAACATTTCATCTGCTTTCCTTTCAGCTTTTCAGTTTGCTATCATTGCAAGTCTGCTTTTAAAATCTACATTAAACAAGAACCGTTTTTCATCATTTTGTCTTTCTTTTGGCCTTTCATTTGTTTAGTCATTCATTATTTCTTCTTTACTTTTATATTTCTTTTATATCTGGTTTATTCTGTATTTTCCTTCAACTTATTTTGCTTTTTTCTTTTTCCTATCTTCTCTTTCTTTTATTCTTAAATTCTTCCTTGTTTTACTCTTTCTTTTCTTTCTTTATTTCATTCTTTCTTTCTTCCTTTTTAATCATTCATTTATTCTTTATTCATTCTTCCTTTTTATGTTCTTTCTTTCTTTTATTTATTTTAATCTGCCTTCATTTATTCTTGTTTTCTATTTCTTTCTGACATTTTAATTTTTCCTTTCTTTACTTTTTTATTCATTCATTCATTCTTTCTTTCTTTTAGTCTTTCATTCTTTCTTTCTTTTACTCTTTCTGTTTTACTCCTTCCCTATCTTCTATCATTTAATGTTTCATTCTTTCCTTTTTCCACTTTCATTTTGTCTTTCATTTAATCATTCATTCTTCCTTCATTTACTCTTACTTTCTTTGCCGATTTTTTCTTTCTTCTTTCAATCCTTAAATATTCCTTTCTTTCTTTCTTCCTTTCTTTTATCGTCCTGTTTTTCTTTCTTAGCTATATTTTTCTTTCGACTTCTTTTCTTTTCTCCATTTCCTTCATTCTTCTCTTAAACTTTCCTTCTTCTTTTCTTTATTTGCTCTTTATTTCTTTCTGTGATCTTCTATTTTATTTAGTCTATCTTTCATTCATTAATATTTTCTTTCATTTTACCTATTGTCCTTATTTCTTTCTTTTTCTTTTACCTTCTTTCTTGCTTTCTTTTTCTTTCTTTCTTATTCTATTTCTTTTTTCTTTCTTTCTTTCTTTTTTATTGTCTTTCTTTTTTCTTTCTTTCTGCCTTATTCGCTTTCTTTTTTTTCTTTCTTTCTTTCTTTCTTTCTTTCTTTCTGTCTTATTCGCTTTCTTTTTTCTTTCTTTCTTTCTTTCTGTCTTATTTGCTTTCTTTTTTCTTTCTTTCTGTCTTATTCGCTTTCTTTTTTCTTTCTTTCTTATTCACTTTCTTTTTTCTTTCTTTCTTTCTTTCTATCTTATTCACTTTCTTTCTTTCTTCCTTTCTTTCTTTCTTTCTTTCTTTCTTTCTTTCTGTCTTATTTGGTTTCTTTCTTTTTTTCTTTCTTTCTTTCTGTTTTATTCGCTTTCTTTTTTCTTTCTTTCTTTCTTTCTTTCTGTCTTATTCGCTTTCTTTTTTCTTTCTTTCTTTCTTTCTTTCTTTCTTTCTTTCTTTCTTTCTTTCTTTCTGTCTTATTCGCTTTCTTTTTTCTTTCTCTCTTTCTTATTTGCTTTCTTTTTAATTTTTTCCTTCATTCTTTCTTATTGTGTTTCTTTCTCTCTTACATTCTTTTCTCCTCGCTTTTAAGATTAAAATTTCTCTAACTTTCCTTCCCGTGAATTTAAATAATAATGTTTTTGTCTAAGTGAATTCATGAGTAATGTATGTGAGTGTGTGTGTGTGTATGTTTGTGTGCTTTTCTCAAGTGAAGATTAAATCCACCTGCCAATGCTTACCATCAATGTACCTTAATATTTATGAAATCTTACATGTGCTTTCTCACAACAGTTCGTTTGACTTCTGGCTTTAAGGTGACAATTGAACAGATAGGAGGATATTCAAAATTTACAAGCAATCATAATAAGAGTCAGCTAAGGATATGAGAAACTTGTCTTTCCTTATCTGACAATCACCAGACATGGTGCATAACAATTAACATTTCTTGGAAATTCCATGGTGATTTTTTTTCAATTTAGAAGCAGAGTAGAAAATAATGCATAAATGTTAATAAGGCAAGATACATATTGTTCAATATACGTGATAACATTGACCATGTTTAATGGTAGCAGGACACAAGTAAACTTTTGACTTTAATCCTGAGTGAAAATTTGACTAAAATGAGTGTCAGATGGACTAATTTGTTGTTGCATATGCATGATAGTATTCGCGATATTTTTTCCTCCTTGTCATGAAAGACCTCAATAATTTCACATACTTTCCAAATAAGTATTCCCTTGACATGATTTTCAATTGTATAAATGGTAATAGTACTGGTAATTTTAGCTGTTTCCTTATAAGGAAACATTCAGCAATGACTGCTACTTTCTTTCAAAATTTATCACAAATTTATAATCTTTTTCTGAAAAATGATTTTTCAGTAAAACAGTGTTGCCAAGTCCAGTAACTTTTAATATTCTTCCAAGTATTGATGAGGGTTTCCTTCCTAACCTTTTGTTTAAAGTCATGGGGAATGTCAACGTCATTATTATCAATATTACTAGCAGCATGGCCTGGCAATGCCCGTGCTTGATTCAAAAATCGTACGACTCATACAGCAATCACCATCACTTGACTGAAAATATTTTTGCCCTTCCTTGCCTTTAAAGGAGTGCCCTTTGCCGTGCTGATGTTGCTACATGTCTTACTTCTTGCCTATCTCACACTGCAAATTTTTTCTAAGCTCTATACTAAACATTAAATCTGTTACGATAAAAGAACTAAACAAAATGAACACAAAACCATCAGCTTTAAAAAAGGACTCGTAACTGGAAAAACCGAATGAAAAAAGAATGTTAACAACAAATACTTTTTCACACCCAACCAAGTTCTGTGGAATCAGAATCAACGTTGAGTTTAAGCAAGCGAATGAGCCAATTGGAGTAAAGTGGATGCAGATTTAAATTTTTCCCACTTGTGATGAATGCAACTATCAATATTTTTTGCATGCTAGCATGCTAGTTAAAATTCATGTCAGTCAGCTGTTGGCTCTCATGTTGGCAAATAGAATCTTCCTGCCCATTCGTGGCAGCCAGCTATTGGCTCTCACTCTGGACAGTAGAAAATGGCCACAAACTACATGAAAACTGCCATAAAAGCATGAAAAAATAAATTATTTCCACTATCGATGGGAGTTGGGAAATGCAAACTTGATCTTAGCCTTTCCGCTAACTTGGAGCATGTGCATGTAAATTTTGGTGCAAATCCATCAAAAATTACGGCCGTGCATACGTTACACACACACACACACCTTGCCTTTTATAGATAGAGATTTTCTCTTCAAGTTACATCTGCTTTGCATTTTATTTGTTGCAGCTGACGAAAGTCCTCAAGTGATATGGTTTCTGTTATTTGGTACAGTTCTTTATTTGTGAATCTGTAGCACCCGATGACAATGTTCAAAGAGAGATGGTCCTTGTTATCATAGGCTTCATTTGCTCAAAGCCATTTTGAAACATTGAGCTAAGAAAGCTGTTATATACAGCTGACTGTTTAGATATTTCTGAATGAGTTTGGTACCTTGCATGACATCCAAATGAAAGTCTTGATCTAATAAGGCTATTTAAGGCTGTTTTTTGGCCAATGTTTCAGTATTACACTGCTTATCTTTGTTTAATTTCCTCAGAAAAACATCACCTCTGTCACCACCACCATCATCATCATCATTACCACCTACACCACTGCCATCAATTCCACCACCATCATCATCACTATCATCATCATCATCATCATCATCATCATCATCATCATCATCATCATCATCATCCAAGTGAAACCTGGCAGAGCCAATGTCTCTCCAGGTTCAAACCACAGCCAATATCTTCCAGTTATAGCGCTGTAACAAGTTCGATGTTGGACATAACTACCCTGAACATAGCTTATTCTCTTTTCAATTCCTTTATCTCCTACACTAAATTTGTTATCACTGAGTGTTTAGAGTTTATTAATTGCACATTCCAAAGTTTTGTGACGGATTCAAGGTACGTGCCGTCACAGACTTCATTCCAATTCCAGATCATAGTTTCTATTTTGGAAACATTTAAACTTTCCTGAGGTATTTTCATTATTATATTGTTTTATTTTAACCAGAGTTTTCAAGTCAATTTCATTTCTTTTTATATTTTGTTATTTCCAAAGCATAATTGAATTTAAATATTAAATTCCAGGAAATATAATTTGAATAATTATATAGTGCCTGTCTTCCATGTCAGCCTGCCTTTCTGTTTCTTCATCATCATCGTCATCATTCTTATCATCATTATCTATCAGATCCATGACCGGGTGTGGTCATAGAGTCACTGCACAACTGAGAACCTGAGCAACCCCCTTCATATGTGACAGTTGTGTGTAAATATCAAAGCCTTTACAAAAGATCTTCCAGTTCACTCAGTAATGTTTCTTCTTTTTTCCTTTTGTTTTTCTCTTTTTTTAACTGTAAAAAACTGAATTTTTCAAAGAGGAAATTTCTGTTGAAAAGTTCCATATTTGGTCAATAGAAATTGTTATCTGTCTGAAAAACAATACAATTTTACACCCATTCATCATCCTCTTCATCGTCCTCAAACCCATGACCAGATGTGGTCATAATGTCTATGAGTACAACTGAGCACCTGATCATCTCCCTCCATATCTCTCAGTTGCAAGCTAATGTCTCAGTCTCTGTGAATGATGTTCCTGTCTGCTCAGTGACATTGTCAACCTGTAATTTGCCTCTGTTTTTTGCTTTAAGCAGAACATTATTGGACGGCAGTGGAAAGATTGTTAACATTTATGAAGTGTTTGTACCATTTCATCTTTTACATGTCATCCTGCCTTTCTGTTTCTCCATCATCATCATCATCATCATCATCATCATCATCATCATCATCATCACCACCACCACCAACAACAACAACAACCAATCATTATCATCATACCAGGTGTGGTCCTAAGGTTGTGGTTCAGTAGAGTACCTGACCAGACCCCTGTATATGTCTCAGTTGTGCACCAATGTCTGAATCTCTATAAAAGATGATCTTCTACTCCCACTAGTTATTGTCCTCTTTTTCTTTTGTATAAGGTGGAACCTTTTTTTTCATGGCAGTGGAAAGATTGTTGGCTCTCATGACTTGTCCATAACATTTCAACATTCTCTTCTTGATGGTAAATTATTACCTTTCTATACAAATATATGATAATATTAATAATGGATTAGAATTATTTGGGCATAAAACACTTCTTTTTGATATTTTAAAGACAAAAGATGCATTCTTTTTCAGGTTTTTTAAGCTGAAAACTTATATTACAGGTGCTGGACTTATTAATGTGTATTCAGTGTTTCATTGTGTTTTAAAAATTCTAAATGAATAATACCCCAACAATCCCACTACACATACAACATTAACTTTCTGTACAAACTAATATATGATAATATTAATGATGAATTAGAATTATTTGGGTATAAACTCACTTTTCACAAGTATTTAAGCAAGGAACATATTATACACAAGGACTAATTATTAACTTTTTCCTTGTATTAGTCTGAGTTATAAATATTTTCCTTTTTTGTTTATCAACGATATTATTTAATAAGTATAATAAAATTACATTTTATTCAATTATATATCCCCTTATCAGGCAACTGTTCAACAAATTAAGAGTATAATTCTACAGGTATTAATATGAAAACAGTTTTTGATAAACTCTTGAATCTGGTTTTCATTAGAAAAATAATTTCTCATCAAAGAAATGTGCAGCAATCAAAAATGGAAATAACCAGTTGATGCAAGCTCAGGTGAATATATCAGGTGGTGTAAAACAGACCAACCTTGTTCCTAAATTTCATCCTGTATCGTTATTAATGTATGCAGCCTTGCATTGTTATAGAGTAAAAGTTTCAACCAGCTATTTATGGACATGTTACAGCTGCTGAACTTATAAAAATGAATTCAGTATTTCAAAATTATTTGCATTGACTTATTGCCATTTATTAGCTAGCTCTTTCCTAACTTTAGATGAGAATTATGCAAGTTTTGATGTGAAAATCTTTTGACAAAGTTATGAATCTAGTTTTCATTAAAGAACATTTTTCCAATCAAAGCGTTTTACTGCAATTGAAAAATTAAATAATCAGTTGGTTCAAGGTCAGGTGATATACTGAGTGAGGCAGAATAGACCAACCAAGTTCCAACATTTTTTCCTTTGTTATTCTTACTGCATGCAGCTTTGCATTGTTATGGAGGAAATGTTGAATGCACTTTTCGAGCAGACTTTTATGGACATGTTAGAGGGACAAACAATAAACATTATCCAGTGATGTATTCAGGGCTGTTTTTATCATTGTTTACAATATGAAACCTGTGAATGGACCAAGGGTGTGTTCATTTAATGACACATCATTGCTATATGTGGGAGACACATCTTGCTTGTTTTCATATAAATTTCAGTTATTTTCCTTGACAGAAATTCATTTGAGTGCAAGTGTTGCTCTATTTTTCAACTTTTGGGTTTGCCAACAGTTAATATATATATATATATATATATATA